GGGGCCCGAGTAGTTGAAAGTTGAAACCAACGCCTACACGACGAGCATTCAATTGGCCTACTTTATGGTTTATATTTACTTTAATAGGCGGCGCTCCTTTAAGGCTTGGCTTGAGCAAATGATCGAACACGTTTTGTTTGGTTGGGTAAGTTAAATTTTTTGTTCTTGTAACAGTTTTAACAGGTCTTGACTCCGCTTATTTTCGTGTGAAGGACGAAGAAAGAACACAACATTTTTATTTTTGCATTGGTAACTGCCAACTGGTCACTGGTAAGGAAGAAAGTCATGGGTTAAGTACTAACGCCCATAGATAATCAAATGCACTCTCATTCATTTACTTTACATGCCAACTTTAATTTTAGCTCACCAAGCTAACAATCCCATAATTCTTTTTTCTTTTTTTTAAGAAAAAGAGAAAATTGCTTTAGAGAGACTCTCCTAAGCGAGTCACCAAGACCCACTAGGCTCTAGCTAGCTGATGAGAAAAGAATGTCTAAGGGTGACTTTGGTAATGGTGGGTTTTCGGTTTACTATCCATTGTGGTTGTGGAGTAGTAGTAGAAGGAACCAAAGAATATAACTCTAGTTTCAACTCTTAAAGAGCAATGTTTTCAACTCGCAGTTGATCCAGTCGATCGAACCGTTTGAATCATCACTCTAGGATTTTGGGTCTGGTTCAGTCAAGATCTGTTAGATGGTCAAAATCATTGTCTTGGTCCAGAACTGTTTGACCCAGCCGGTTCAACTATTGACCCATCCAACCCAGTGATCGGGTTGCGGGTTGCACAATCAATACATGCAAACTTTCGAAAGATATAACTTTGCACTACGATGTCTGATTGGTTTTTTTTTCTTTGGATAGCTTTTCGAGATCTATGCATAGGCTCCTTGCCGTTTAACCCGACCAATCAAATTGGTGACCTACGACCCAAAGGCAAAAAAGATTGGACCTCTGGATTGGTTTTTAAAAATTATCAAAGAGTGTTGGTGATGTCAAAACCAAACTGAATGACTAATATTGATTTCTCATAAGATCAATCCAAACTCTCACAAGGCTAGGATTAGGAGTGCCCTCTCTCACTGTATAACAAGTGGGACAGTATCTAGCTATAGCCTTTGGATGGGCCAAGGAGGAGCAGTCCCTGTCTCATTCTTTTTTATCACCTTCATTACTGTACTGTTTACAGGATAACGCCTATTCGTCTATATATAAAGCTCCTGTACTATAGTGTGCATCTTGTGACAAGGACTGTGAGGTGAGGGTGAGGTGCATATCTTATTTTTACCCACAAAAGAAAAAGGGAATTTCAATTGATTTGTATTTTCTGATCCACAAAAGAAATTGGTAACTCTAATATCAAATTTTAGTGTGCAGTAGTGGTTCAGGGCTGAGAGAGCACAGAAATATACAAAATAGTAGGTTTTACACTCTACATATTTGTATTTATACTCCTTCCTAACTGAGCTTCAAGGGTAGTGCAGATCAATCTTTCCCACTCACTCACACCATCAACAGGTGCTTCTGACTTCCTTATTCCTGTTAACAATAACCCATGTTAAATATATGTCTCATCAATGAAGAAGCTTCATGAATGGTTGGAGCCAAAACAATTAGGCGCCATCAGCTAGGCTAGAAGCCGATTATAAATGTAGAAGCTTAATGAATGAATGCGAGCTAACTTGATGGACTATAATTATGATCTAGTGGTCTTGTTGCTTGGAGTATCAATGGTTCAATCTTGTAGGAAAAAACCTTACCTGCCTTACTTTTCAGGGGTTTGTATTAATTAATTTTTAATTTTTAATTTCCAGACGAAGACTTTCGCTACTGGTGTTGCCTAATAAAGGTTTCATCAAATGGGTAGTTATCACATCAACAACTCTCCCCTCTTCCGTTTCTTCTCCTGTTCCCTTGTGTCTGAAGAAACATTTTACTTAAAAGTAACCAAAAGATCATTAGCGGGAGAAAATTTGAGATTTTTATTATTGATAGTGGTTTTTTTTTTTTGGTAACCCGGGGGTTAAGAGCATTGCGTCTCCCTTTATTTATTAATAATTAGAAAGTAAATTTATGTAACGCATGAAATTAAATAGAAAATTGGTTAGGTTTGAGTGGGCAAAATTTGGCTTAGAAATTGGTTTGGATTCAGGCCAATGGTCATATTTAGGGTGTAATTGGGGTTGGATTGAGTTAACAGCATTTTACAAGCTAGTCGAACAAATTGTACTCCTATTCATATTTGGGGTTGGTCTTGGATTAACCCTTAAATTTCACTTTATCCATTTAATTTATACCTCTCGATTTTAAGAGAGAGAGAGATAAAAACTAAAAAAGTTTCAAAGAGATAGAAGAAATGAGAGATTTAAGGGGAAGGAAGATGTTACAAACATTGATTACGACAACGAAAGATAGAGAGAGATAATGATATTATTAGAGAGAAATTATGTATTTTATTAGAGAAAATTAAAATTTAAGAGGGTATTTTATTAGGTCTTAAGCATTGAACGGGACCGGTATTTCTTTTTTTAGGACTAGGAGGTATAGGTATATAGTGGTCATTAAGACCCTCAAAGTACAAACCAACACTACACGAACACCTGTAATGAACCCAGAATCCATCGCATGATTGCAATGAGTTCATTACAAATTTGCGATTGCGATGCATTCACACTTGGGACAGGTCGTGATGAACTTTGGTTAACACGAATTTGCGAAAAAGCTAAGACACATGTGGGTTTGCGATGAACCCCAGACACACATGGATTTTCGATGTATCCGAATACACGTAAAATTGCGATGAACTCGACACCATCACAGAACTGTGGAGTCATGATAGAACGGGAACATATATTGGTTATGCGCACATCTCTAAGTTACGCATATGAGCTTAATGAATGTACGCCCGCCAAACAATGATATCACCTGCGCCACGTCAGTTACGTACGGAGAAAATCTAAAAGGGATATGATTCTATAATAAAGATCCCTTAATAAGACCTTCTTTCCTAACAGGAGTGATCATTTTTCCTAATAGAAAAGAACTCATTCCTTAATGGCTTGAACTATCCCTATAAAAGGGGGGGATAATTCTTCCTCAAATAGACAACGCAATCACAACCCAAACCTAGAGTTTCTCACAAGGGATGCTCCCTTCTCTCCTCTCCTCTCTTCCTCACCTTCTCTCATTCCTGTCGCCTTCTCCGAACCTTGGAAGACTGACCAACTCACACGAGTCTCGGATGATTACTGACGGTTTTCAAAGACAATTTCAACATATTTTTGAGGAAAAAAACAACAACAAAATCGAATGGGTGATGTGATGAGGTTGATTTCAGACGAGACAGCTACAGCATCTTCTCTGTCATTATGTGTACGTAAGACCTCCCATCTCAGAACAGGCCTACACGCGTAAGATTTTCAGCAAGTGGAGGATGACAGAGAGCAGAGTTCAATATAGGGGTGTGTTTGGTGGAGTTGTTTGACAACTGACGACAATTACTGAATTAGGGAGGGCCCGGGGGGATTGCTCTGGCCTCTGGGCAGGTATTATTTAAAGGTTTGAACCTTTTTGTCCGTGAGGAATTTGGATTTGTACAAAGGAGCTTGTAGAGTTAAAAATCATGCCTATGAGAAAGACAATAAACTAGTTTGGCAAATGCTCTACTGTGTGAAAAGTGAAAACATTGTGCATTTTGTATGATGTGAAATGAAGTGTTGTTGAATTGGCACGTGTGTGTCCCATTTTATGACTTTAGTTGACTCAATTCCCACCAAGTATGAGGCAAGCTGAAGTTCTTTTATTGTCGTGTGAAATGGCACTCTTCATTTCACACTTTCTCGATCTCGTACGGAGAATGCATGTTAAGCCTATATACTTGCGAGAGTGAGGAAAAGAAGATATATAATGAATCAATCTGACTTATAAAGAATCCCATGTTACTACTTAAACAAACATACTCCACCAATTGACACGTGGCTGCAGCATTAGGAAAGGGTCCCCTCCTTGAATACGTGTTACGCTATACACACTTATGTATAGCAACATCGCAACAACAGTCCCCTCACTCCAACTCCAACAGCGTCCTTCTCATTCTTAATATTTTATATATTTGCTGGAGCGTGTTTAATCCCCACTCACAGAATGGTGGTAAATATATATACAGGTTGACTGTCAGTCTGAAATGAAAGAAAAAATAAAAAATAAAAACAAATAAAGAATTCAAACCTTAATAATTTGCTGGTTAGGTGTCAATCATATCGCTGAGTATTTTGGAATTGTAAGGGTCGTTTTCTTCTTCATTTATGGAGCAATTTTTTTTTTTAATTTTTAATTTGTTCGACAAGATTAAATGATTTTCCATGATGGTAGTTGTGCTAAGGTGATAGTCTTCTATTAATGGAAAAAAAAACTTTTTTTTTAATAATAAGATTTAGGTCTCACATAAAGGCCGAGGCAGTAGTGGCATTAGGGGTGATCATTTCAGGCTGGCCCTGCCCGGCCCGCATACGTCTGGCTTGAAAATTTTAGGCTTGAGTTTGGGTTTTGTGTTTAGGCCTGATTCGCATATATTTAAACTTACATACATATATACATGTTATATTATATTATATTATATATTTTATATATAAATATTATAACAAGATATGTATAATTTATATTATATATAATATTTTATATTATATAGTATATAAAATCAAAGTTGATATGTATGTTATGTTACTTAATATAAAATATTATAGATATATAATGTTTTATATATGAAAGACATTGACCCGGAATCAAGCTCGACCTGGCCCGAGCCCATATAGACTTGGATTAGAGTTTATGTTACAGGCCTGGAACCCCGAACCAGACCAGGCCCAAACCTAAGCTTTAGCCCTTATCATAAGTGCAAAGCCCAGCCTGGGCCCGGCCCATGGTCACCCCTAAGT